TGGTTGATACAATGATTTTGTTGCTTGAAATTCTTCTATTGATAGAATAATTTATTTTAAAAAATGCCCAAAATTTGTGCGTTTGAATTAGGGTTGTCAAAGATAAAATTGAGACTTGTTTAGTGTGTGGGATAGAGGTAAATAAAGGTGTAAAAATTAAAATGTCTAAAATACTTTTAAGGTGGGTAAGTGAGACAAAACAGTTGAAAATGTCAGTTTTTGGAGGCAAAGTGAGACAAAATCAATTTTAGGGGGTAAACTGAGACTCAATAATAGTTTCAGGGGGCATTTTGACTAATAATCCTTGGAGTAATCCTTAGCTGCATAAACCTAAAGTATATATATGCAAGTAGTAAACTATCACTTCGATTGGTTAATAATGCAATCTATGAGCACCCAACTTGTAATATAATAACTTCTGCAAACAATACGAAAATTTACATGTCTTGAATGTGCTCTTGTCGAAAACGCTTAAATTGCGTGAATTCTCTCTAAACTATCGAATGAAATTTATTCTGGAATATGATCTCTATTTATTTTTTGAAAAAAAAAAATCATTGATTGCTGAAAATTTTGGATCAACGAAATAAATTAGTATTCTAAAACTATTTCTCTCAAGTTTATGATGTTATTACACATACACATGTATAAATAATTAGCATTAATTGAGATAAATATGCTCATCAATGTTTTCGTTAGAAGCCTATTATATTAGCAAGATGGAATGTTTATGAAAAATTCACATATTTCGTACTACATACTTAGAAGTGCTTTTGAAGAATTGTCTATTAGGTGCTTACACAAAAAGCACCGTAATTAAAACATATAATCTTATCAAAGCCACTTTTGATTATCCTAAAACACTTTAACCACTCCAATTGTATTGCCAAACATGCTCTAAAGTTGTGGCTATTGTGATAGCCCGTCTCAGATTTCGTTGTGTGGTTATTTTGGGGTTTTGGTTGGTTGCTTTTGGACCACACACACACATCCACACTCATTATCATCCTTTCCCTGTCCCGTATCCCTGTCTCTCTCTCCCTTTCCTTTCTTCTTTGTACGGACAAGATCAAATCCTTCGAAAACGTGGTAATCGTGGTGGAGACTTATACCTTTGTGTTCGTGAGCTTCATACGAGTTCAACCATACCCATTTCAGGAAAGGACACCTTCATTTTCACGTCGAACCTGAGATGTTCAATTCGGGGTACTGTTCATGCACACGTAAAATCATGTGTTTTTGGGAATTTCAGGGTTGTAGGAAGCTTGGTGAGGTCCTTAGGAAGCTCGGGGTGGTTCGTTTGAAGGTTTTGGACGTCGGGATCGTGAGTTGCAGGTTTGGCTGGATTTGGTGGAGTTTTTCCAGCGAGATTCTGTTGGTTTTAGTGGTTGAAAGTGGTAAGGTTTTGTTCCTCTAGTTGTAAGCTTCATTTTGGTATCAATTTCGTGAATTTTGGGTGAAAAACGAGTGAGAAATGAAGTTTAGAAATTTTCCCGGTTTTACAGCAACGACGACGACGCCGGAGGTTGCTCGGAGAAGACGACGGAATATTTCGTCAGTTTGGACGAAATATTCCTAACGGCGTTAGGTTAACTTTAACGGAATCTGTCAGATATAACGAAATATTCCTAACGATGTTAACTGATGCTGTCAGTGTGCCAGGCACGTGCCTGCGTGTGCACGGCGCATGTGGTCGTGCCTTGGCTGGCGTGTGGGGGCATGTACGGCGTTGTAAAATTATTTTAAAAATATGGGGATGTTCGTGAGGTTGAGTAGATCACGTTGGTGTATTCACACACCCTATTTGAGCATTGTATGAGAAGTTATTACCTAGTTTGGGTTATATGCTTTAAATTAACGTTTTTATAGTTGTTTTGCATTTAGGTGAGACCTATCTCGAGGACGAGCGCAGTCACTTGAGGCAAGGGGGTTACGACCTTTCTATATACCAGTGAGTGGGCTTTTGGTTTTCCGTATATACCTATATACTTGTGATTTTCCCAGAAAATGAAATTAAACGTTTATATGTTTTAAATGCCATGCTTTGCGATACCTATTTAATTATGCATTAGTAGTTGCATATATATATATATATATATATATATATATATATGTTTGGTGCTGCGGACGCACAGGGAAGTGTCAGGTAAGTTTTGGTTTATGTTTGTGATTAATAGTGATATGAGATGCATAGAGAGCTCATAACCTGTACCCCCGGTGTTAGTGTTTCCGCTCAGAGTAGGACACAATCCTTCACGTGATGTTCACCTCCCGCACCACACGCTCATCTTAGATCCAAGTTAGGTGCACAATCCTGTCGTACAGACCACTATAGGTGGTTCCGACTCGTAGATGACCCGCAATTATTCGCCCAGTCTTCACGTGATCGTAGCACTTGAGCGTATTTATTTACACCTAGTCTTGTCGTACAGACCACCATAGGTGGTTCCGACTCATGTGCAGGTATAGTTAGTGAGTTGTGGAATTGAGCTCTAGATTCAGCCGTACAGGTCACGTTAGGTGACTCCGGCTGACAGATTACATGGCATTGATTGACATTACCTGAGTACTTGCATTTTATTTAGAGGCATTCAACATGGCATATTTCTGAGCATGTTTTATATATATGTGCATATTCTATTTTTCGGGAAACTATACAGGTTTTACGGCGAGGGGTTAGAACTTTTGTTATTGAAATGGTTTTGAAAAGCTTTGTTTTTGCCCACTCACACTTTCTATTTTGCGGCCCCTCCAAGTTCTAGTTGGATTACTCTTTTGGTCGCTCTCGAGGAATTCTCGGCATATTTGACAGATTATCACCAGTGTAGGACCACCTCTAGGTGTGTTTATTTAGTATTTGTTTCCCCGGACTACACTAGGTCTTCCTTACTCTGAATATTGTGTTTCACACTTACGCTTGCACATGTATGTTATTTACTCAGTGTATAGCTTGGTTTTTATTTATTCGTACTTTATTATTATTCTTAGCTTCCGCACTGTGCACATGGTTACGTCACTCTCACGTAACGACCAGCATGCCCTGACTTCGGTCGGGGTGTGTCAGCTATGGCCTACAATTAATTTGCTAGAACCCTTCGGACTGGTTTATTTATACCTCACCATTCAAAATTTCCATCCATCACTACCCAATAATTTTAGCGGGTTTTGAAATTTTATTCTTACAAAAAATTGAAATTTAATTAAACGCTGATATTAGTGTACATATTGATTCTAGTCCTTTGGTGTATATTTTAATTCAAATTCAAATTCTGTTTTTGTTTTGTTTTATTATTTATATATATTTTATTCAATGTCTCATATTAGATATTTAAATTTATTACTATGCATGTTCTAAATTAATTATTTTGTTTTACTTCCTCTAGTTATATACCTAAATGATAAAACATTAAAAAAGATAGTGACACATAAAAAAAATGTAAATACATGAGGGTATTGAAAATATATTAAAATGAATTCATGTAATTAAATGTCAATAATGAATTTTATTATAATGAATTAACGTACCTCTATGTTTGTAGCGAAATGTATGTGCCAAAATGTAGGTACTGATACGTATTATATTGAATTAATATATTTAAATGTCTATACTGAAATAGATATACCAAAATATATTAAATAATTTAATGTACCTAATAAATGAAGAATACAAAGTGTATCTGAATATATTATGTAAAAAAATTAGTTCACCTAATTAATGTCTACAACAAACTATATTACCATGAATGAAATGAAAATTAGAATCAAAAGTAATGAGTATATTAATTTTGGAATAAAAAATAAATAAAACATCTAAAGATGATTGATAAATGAGTTGATTAAATGTATCAACGGCTTAGATTTTAATCTTACACAAGATTTTAGTCTAAAATTTTCTCCTTCAAGATTTAGAATAAAGTTTTCTAATAAATTTAATATTACAAAAAAATTTAGTCTAAAATTCATCTTTTTCGAGAATTAGAATAAAGTTTTCTAATAATTCCAATGATCTAACTTATTCTACCACACAATTACTGTTAAAAGCATCTCCAACGGGAGGCCAATTGCAAGAGCAATTAGATTCAATTGCCTTTGGACCCAAAAATGGTTCACCATTGGTGGAAAAATTGGGATGCAGTTCGCAAAAGGCAGCAACCCTATTAGTTGACTGGGCTTGCGCCCGCGTGGAGAAGGCCACGGTATGTCTGTAGCAGACAAGGAGGGGCCCACCCCACATGAAGCCAACCGAGCCGTTAGTTAGATTTCGAACAGTTTGTTGATTACGACCGTTGGATTTCCAACAGTTAAAAAATGAAAATTTTGCAGCTCCACCACATGGCACTTTGTGAGCCTCTGATTTCAAAAAATTGAAAATTCGACGGCCAAGATTAATAGAACTTTAAAAAATCCAAAAGGAATCATAAAAAAACCAAAAAAAATTAAAAATCCAAAAAACTTACAAAGTTCTCACTTAAAAATCGTACAGAGTTCAACACACTCGCAAATTAAATATTTAAAATTAAACAAAATTCTACGACGACAATGACATTTGGGGATAAAACGAAGAAAACATTAAAAAAATATAAAATATATTTGTGAATAGTAATCACCCTTCCTATTCCTCCTTCCAACCAGTGGACTTGCACAAGGCAATAAAATTGTCCTTACCCCACACTAATGGATGGAGATACTCTAAAACAAAACGAATTTAACATAAACTAATAGATTATCCTTTTCAATAGAATCAGTGGAGATGGTATATAACAAACACATGTTGCTAGAACCCCAATCTCTTTCTCTCTCTATGTCCCTCTCATCTGCAAAACAATGTACACACTCCTGCACTAGAGTATATAAGAACACAATAGAGTGTAACTTGTTCACTAAACATCAGAACAAATTATTTCCTTCGTCAATATATTCAAGTGACTTTTTCTATGGAATCAATAGAAGTGACTAAAATTTGGAAATCGATAGAAGTGACTAAAATTTGGATGTTTGTGTGATAGTACAAAGGCAAATATATTACAAAAGAATATATAGGTCACCTGTTACTTGATATACAAGAAATTTCTGCAACTAAAGAAAACAAAACAAATGAGAGCACTTCAAATCTTCCAAAGTACAAGCGCCCTGCAAGACGAATTTTCTTTTACATGTTCATCACTAAGTAGTCTCCTCTATTCAAAGCACAAAGATGGTTACAGCAAAGCTATCTTTCCACGGCCACTGCAGGCAAGGCACGATCGCGCAGAAGAGCATTTTGTGCAGTAGCTCCATTTCTTTGGAAGCCTGATATCATTTCAGAAGAATTTGTTGGAAAAAATGGAGTCTAATTGCTGTATAAATCACATATAAAAACAACAAATAATTTATGCAACTAAATAAACAATTTAATGCATACTCATAAGAAAACACAATGCTAATGCACATGAAATTAGATTAGAACCATCTAAAAGTCGGTCGAGGCAAATGTTAGACATTTTGTCCTTAAGACAATTTTTCACCCAACTACGGTGCTCATGGTTGATTGGCGCTTGTCTTTTAGGATACAACGACCATGTCCTTGTAATAGTAGCATTCCAAATCGCAAGGCTCTAGTGAACCCCGAATGTGTTGAACTCTCTCAGACTCACTTAATCTCTAAATATGACATGACTCACATGAACATGTATGACTCAACTAAAAAAAAAATTTGACAAATGACTTAATTTGATAGGTCTTTATATAGTTATGGAAGTGACTCTTCGTAATAGTTGTGTAGTCGCGTCTCTTCAATTAAAAGGCAAGGGTTGCACCTTTTCTCTTTAATTCAACAGTCACAACCCTATTCATCAATAGTCACAACCCATCATATATAATTTCCATTCAAATAAAATAGTTTAATTAACTATGAATTAAATTTTCCAACAGAATTTAAGTGTTAATCGAATGAAAATGAGTGAGAAAGAGAAAGGTCCTAGAAGGAATGTGAGAGAAACTCAAAAGAAGTGTACATACCCTGCTGTGTATCGAGTGGCCATATTCTTAGAAGCCATTCTTGCCCTCTCAGCACTTTCGTCAGAGAGTTTCTTGAGTACAAAGCCTTCGCCTTTGCATTCAGGACATATACCAGAACCACGACAGGCTTCACATATTTTCATAGGAACCTGCACTTCTGAAAAGGAGTTCATTTGGATAGATAGCTAGCTCAAGCATACGAAAAGAGATGTGACCCGGTTATCATAATCGCCCTATCAGTACTTTTTCCGTTGGCTTTGAATTGTTACATGTTCTATCAATTTCCATTCATTAAAGAAATGAATTTATGTCTTTGTAAATTATTACTTAGCTGGAGATAATGCTTCGTTGAGTTGATTTTTGTTGTTTTATAATTATGTACATACCTCAGCTTCTTCAGCAGCTTTGGTTCTCTTTGCAAGAACCGTAGCTGCTGTACCAACGACTGTAGCAGCAATCGCTATTGAAGCCACTGTTTCAGGTAGGGCAGAAGAGACCAATGATGATTGTCTTCTTCTTTGCTCTCGTGGCTTTACATTGACTGAAGAACAAAAGTCACAGTCCAATCAATAAAGTGATCACTATCAGAAGAGAATCGTTCAACACTATAGACTATAGTCCTTATAAATGAACTAAGTAAGTAATTTAACAAAGCTCTTGCTTGCTTATAGGGAATTGTCACAAAGTTGATTAGCAATTGTACTTCAATCAACACTAAGTACCAAAGTGGTAGGCATTGCAGCTTGTGAATTGTACAAAGAGAGCGTTAAGGCATTAGTTTAAGGAATAAATTAACTTATACTTCACGTGGTAGAAACTAAGGAAAGAAAGAAATTGAAACCATAACTCAAATATTTTCAGGTGTATTCCTGTTGTTTACTGGGATGAGTCAAATACATCAGCTGGTAGAAAACGCAGAGCACAATATTGGAATTTTAAGTTTAAAACAATGAAATAAAGGAGCTGGAAGCACATCAAGCTAAATGAAAATATGAATGAACCGTCATATGAAATGGCCTAAACTTCCATGTCTGAGTTAGCATGAATAAACTGTTGACTTGGACCCAAATAAACTTCTCAATAAGAACTATAAGCTTTACCATTATAAGACAGAACTATTTGTATTCGAAGGAATACAAGAAAGAAATGCATGAATTCAATGATTTAAGCATACATAAAACCTTCGAATGGACTACTATATTTTTAGCCAAGAGAAAAAAGGACTAGCAAGTGATCAGAAACTAGAATTTTGATCCTTAATAATATGACAAAGAACAAACAAATGGAAATGTTATCATGTTATGATTGTAGTTTTCAGTTACACTTCTTACAAAAGCTCCTGCTGTGCATATTTCATGTTAATTTATAGCTTATAAGCCTCAAACCAGACAAAAGAAGAGGATAAATGCAGTAAAACTGTTCATATATAGGTCTGATTATTCATTGTTTAACATCCCTAACTTCAAGCAACAGATTAGATCAGTGTTCCAAATCCCAATAAAGCTTACTTAACACTATAGAAACAAGCACACGTAAAATTAGGTCAAAAAATCGTTCAACATGGCACCTGACTAAATAACAATGTACATGATTCTACAATAGTTTCTGCATAATATTTGACAGTGTCAGTTGGGTCGTGTGTACAGGGAAGGAACTAGCACGATTGATGGCCTAACGCTTGGTTTGGTCCTCACAGCGTTCGATGCCCCCTTGGGACCGTGAGCATGCTGATTATTGGATTTATTAGGTGTTGCTAAACCTCACTTAGTGTCGATTAAAGTTCTTCATTTTTGGACCTTTGGTGACCATATGTACCAAAAAAGAAAATCAACAGTAGACCCATGACACATGCGAGTGCTTCAGTGTCAAGAAGAAATCAACCCAACATTGAATGAAAAACCAATTACCTACACAAATGGTAGAATCTAATTATGGATTATTTTCACATGTTTCAGGTTCCACCTTGCTTCCCACCAGCCACATTAAAGTTCAACCTAAATCCTAATCTCACCACCTTGCCTCTCCCCAACCCCATTCTTACATTTTGCACTCCCTTCTACTTAATAACGGCATTGCTCAGTAGAATCTCTGAACCCACATCAGCACAGGAAGCAAATACCCACACCCATCAAAAGCAAGTTACCGAAATAAAAAGCACTTAATGCTCTCAGAGAAGAAATCTACATAACTTAATTTTGCATCCACCAACCCAGCCAAGAAGCACCTCCCAGGAAAATCAATTAACTCACTTTCTTTAACCAACATTAATTTTTAAGTGTCCCCATTTATTGGCATCCCCTCAACAATAACTTGAATGACAAATCAGTAGAAAAAAGGATCATCTTTTATGTTAGTTTTAATTAGGATAACCCATGACAACAGCAACCAGCTTCCTCCATAAAGATTACATTTAATGGCTATTGGTGGAATAACCAAATCATTGGAACCCACTTTTGTAATCACTCTCAAATGGAGATTAAATTCTACAATAATGTCGATCTTTGTGGGCATTCTCCGTTCATGGATTATCTCATTTTTCTCATTTCTATAATGCTTGCTTATCATCCCTTTCTTTTATAACAATGCGGTATTCTAAACTACTTTGATCTACACAAGGGCGAGCACACTATCTTGACCAACTGATCTAACTTAAGTATGCCGGTTCCTTACCAACCATCTGTGCCAAGATTAAAATTCTAAAATAAAATCAATGATCAACAACTTCACTTTCTATATAATGAACCACATGCATAAAATGGGAAGATATGCAGGTGCACAATAAATACATACATAAAGCTTAGAAATCTGAAGGTTTGATGCTTGAAATTAATCAAAGTTTGGGATATCTTACTCTTAGGAAGGTAAGAAAATGATATTTGGCGCACAGCCAACTCCATCGTTTACTGCGCTTCCGAGTGAGTAAGGCAAAAACACCAGGTTCCGAGGAGTATGATTGTAGTTCCCTTATCCTAACTATCTTATCTTGGCTGCTGGGTCTGATCTTTATAACGCCCTTGGTTTTGCAGACAATTTCAGAAATGCCATTTCTTTTTGGAGCTCAGAATCTGCATTTATTTGTGGTAGGAAATCTCAACCGTCTATCACCCTGATTAAATCTCAACCATCTATCACCCACTCTCTCTCTTAATCTTGTCCGGGACTGAGTTGTCTCGTCCCAAGACTCCATCCTCAGACCCAATTCACTCGACTCTCCTCCTTGAATCTCCTTTCCTCTCTCGCCGCCACCATCATCATCAGATTCGTCTGATTCATTCTATCTGATCAATTCTAAGGTTTCCCCTCGCGGATCTCCCTCCATTTGGCTCCACTTTCGCCCTCCGCAGTCACCGCAAATGGAAATTCTAGTCCATTGAAATGGGAAATTAGGGTTTGATAGTCAGCAGGTGTGTGTATTTTGCGTCGTTGTGGGGGTGGTTTTTGGTGGCCATGGCTGCTTTGCAGAGAGTGGCGCAGTCCAGCGTGAGTACTACTGCGAGTAGTTACGGATCGCGTAAAGGTGGTGGTGGTGTTTGTTCACTGCCTGCCGCCATTGAAATGGCAATTCCCGATCGGTTTCCGGCAAGCTTGAGGGTTCTAGTGGTCGACGACGACACCACGTGCTTGAGGATTCTTGAGCTGATGCTCCTCCGGTGTCTCCCCTAGGGTATGCCGTTGATCTTCTAGCTAGGACCTCAGTGATTGGATATGCTTATGCTTTATTTGGTTCAGATTCTCGGTTTTTATGTCGAAAGTTTCGATAGATAGATGCTGTTTGTTTTTGCCTATTCTCAGTTTATAAATTATATATAAAAAAAAAAAAAAAAAATTAAAAAGTTGGTCCCGTGGGGCGGGGCGGGACAGGTCCAGTAAATAACGGACCAGGTTAGATCCAATTCCAAAACTACCCGGACCGTCCTGTCCTGTTACTGTTTAAAACTGGTAAGGTCGGTTCCTTCAAAATTATTTTGGAGCCCGGCCCGTGCCCAGCCCTAGTAGGAAACTGGTGAAGATGGGACATTTGTGACTCAATCATACATTAAGGATCGGTATTCTAATTATTTCAATTAAAATTTTAATTTAAGTTTCTACTTTTTAGTTTTGATTTTAACAAAAAATGGTAACTATTCAGATATGAAATTTTATTAGGGTTCTAATTATGAAAAACTGAAAACTAAAATTAATTATGACTGAGAAGTTGAATTACTCGTCGAAAAAGTTTTAATTTTTAAAATTTGATAAAGTATAACATGTACAAATCTTTATATTTTTCCTTTAATTCTGATTCATTCGTTGGTAGAGAAACTATCCAAGGCCACTTACCATGAGTAAGGCCCTGTTTGGCAGATCGGATAAAAGATCAGATAGAATTAGTTATACGGACTCGGGTGTCTGGCGTTCACTCGTACTAAATAAGCGCTGGATTAATTTAACCGGTCGGATAAGATAACACGGTATACACCCGCTTAATAAAACCAATCAAAACGCCCGGTTTATTTAGTCGGGGAAGAAGAATATGGGAGAGAAAGGGAGGGAGTTTGGGGGGTGTGGCGGAGAGAGCTGGGGAACAATTATTTGGGATTCTTCTGCAGTCGGGGAAGAAGAAGGGAGAGAGAGGGAGGGTGTTTGGGGGGTGCGGAGAGATCTGGGAACAAAAAAATGATTTCACTTTTTTTAAAATTTTATTTTTTAAGTTTGATTCCTCCTATCTAGTATAATACCAAACACAGTATAAATAATACGATCACTAATCCGATACTGCACCAAACACCCGACTAATTTAGTCAGTACTATCCGGTGGCTATTTATCCTATTCGACGGAAATAGTCAGTACAGTCCGAGCTGTCAAACGAGGCCTAAACGTATTAATGATGTATTGACGTTCCTCATGTTTGTTGTGCTCCAAATCCAATGTTTGTACTTGCACAGTTATTATGACCATGGGACATGTGTGATTATCTTCGACCCAAAAATACAATAAAAAAGAATCTCATACATTTTAAATTTCAAAAATGTCTCTACTTGTGTAACATGGAACATTCCACAACACTCGTCTGTTCTTGCCAGATCGTACAAAAAACTACCTTAACTATTGGTGTCACGACACTTTTATACTTCATCTTTTAAAATTGACAATGTCATACCTCATATTTAGAATTTGGTCCAATGTTAGACCTTCCGTTACTTGGCCGTTTACTTTTCAATTAAATGCTGACGTGGCTTGATTTGGGACCCATTTTTTATTAAAAAATTAATAAAATATTATTAAAAACTAAAAAAAATATATTTAATATTTTTTAAAATAATAAAGAAAAATAAAAAAAAAATAAAAATAAATAAATCCCTCTCTGTTTCCCCCCTCTCTCTCTCCTCCCAACTTCATCTTCTTCCCTTCCTAATCTTCAACCAAAAAACAAAAACCCAAAAAAAAAAAAAAAAAAAAAAAAAAAAATTTGAAAACCCATCGACACCCCCTCTCTGCGGAAGAAGAAGAAGAAGGAGAAGGAGAAGGAGAAGGAGGAGGAAGAAGAAGAAGAGGAAAAAAAAGGAGAAGAAGGAAGAAATTATTGTTTTTTTTTTTTTGAATACCCATCAACCCTCCCAACGGAAGAAGGAGGAAGAAGAAGAAGAGGAAGAAAATGAGAAGGAGAAGGAGAAGGAGGAAGAAGAAGAAGAGGAAGAAAGAAATTTTTTTTTTTTTTTTGAAAACCCATTGATCCCCCCTGCGGAAGAGCAAGAGGAAGAAGAGGAAGAAAAGGAGAAGGAGGAAGAAGAAGAGGAAGGAAAAAAAAAAATATATATCCAACCCAACCCAGTTCGCCCCCCCGCTCCCCCCCCCCCAACCCCCTACAACCCAGAAAAAAGAAGAAGGAAGAAGAAGAGGAAGAAGAAGAAGAAGAAGAAAAAATAAAATAAAAAAAATTCAACCCAACCTAGTTCGTGTACCCTTTGCAACCCAGAAAGAGGAAGAAGGAGAAGAAAAAGAAAAAAAAACAAATCCAAAGTGAACCCATTTCGTCCCCACGCCACCCCCCTAAACCCAACCCCCTACCAACCCCAAATCCACAACTCTCATCCATTCTTCACATCCTCTTTCGCACCCATCCTTCATCTTCTTTGCACACCCATCTTCCCGCTGACAGGATCTGGGTTTTTTTTTTTTGTTTCTTCTGGATTGCAGGAGGGAGAAGAGGGGATGGGGAGGGAGGTCGACAAATTGAGAGTGGGTGCGGGGGAAGACAAATTAGAATTTTTTTTTCTTTTTTTTTTTGGTGGGGTTTGCAGGTGAGGGGAAGAAGATGGGGGGAAGAGAAAGGAGGGGGATGGGGAGGGACGAACTGAGAGGGTTAATTTTTTTTTTATTTTTAACTTTTTATTATTAATTTAATATTTAAAAAATATTAAATACTTTTTTTTAGTTATTAGTAATATTTTAATGATTTTTAAATAGAAAGTGGGCCCCGAATCAAGCAACGTCAGCATTTAACTGAAAACTAAATGGCCAAGTAACGAAAGGTATAACATTGGACCAAATTCTAAAGATGAGGTATGATATTGTCAATTTTAAAAGATAAGGTATAAAAGTGTCGTGACACCAATAATTAAGGTAGTTTTTTGTACTTTACCCTTTAAATTTAGATGTTCGAGTTTACAGCTTATTTTCTACTTAGTATTTTATTGTCTAAACTCTTGTAGGCGGGGATAAGAAAAGGTGTCTATAATACTAGACGAATAGTTATTCTCAAAACAACTTTTGTGACCAACAACAGCAAAACCAAACACAAACACCACCCACCCCCGTCCCCCCCAAAAAAAAAAACACCACCCCAAAAATAAATAATAATAATAATAATAATAATAATAATAATAATTAAAAAAAAAAAAACTTCTTCAGGGTGTGCCATTTTACGATAGAGACTATAGTGAGTCCAATTAAAAGTTGTTGTGTCACATGATGCAAAAGATTTGCATTGATGGCAGCATGCAAATTAAACCTTACTTTCATAATTTACATTACTGTCTAATTTATTACTGATAAAATACATTAATTTCTTCCCACTTGTTTCATAAATTTGACATAAATTTTTAGGCAATAGCATTTTGTTTGTTTGGAGCACTACAAAAAATATGGGGACTGCGCTTAATAAATTATTTGTACCCTTTGAAGCCAAAGACCACCAACGTAATGTGCCAATAGACCAATAGCAACAGTTCAACAACTATAATATTGTTTGTGCCCTCTATAGGCGTGCCCTTTGATAATAAGGCACAATATTGCTTTTGTGCTCCTAAAGAAAGCACCAATAACAGCCTATTTGTGCCTTAATTTTGACAAGCATGTTAGATGAAAGACAATCATGCGCACAGTTTTCAAATTGTGCCCAATAGGTTCTATTTGAAAAAAAAAAAAAAAATTTTGAAACAAAACAAAAAATTCTAAATTTTCATAAAATCAACAAATCCCACAATATACATGTATTTCAGTTATTTTCCACAAATCCCACATATTTACAACTAGCTTTTCTTCAGAATCCTATCCTCTTCTACTGCAATCATTGGACCCAAGTTCTTCATGCAATGTAACTTTAACCACATTCCCTTGTTGCCTATAAGGAATCTTAGTAAAAAGTGTGGAGTAAGAAATATTTATACGTTACAAATAACATCCATTTTATCAAGATTATCACATGCAAACCACTTTGATCTTCCAGGGAATTAAGGACATAATGACATTAGCAATTATTGAAAAACCAACCTAAGTGCACTGACATATATATTTCCCTTACCGTGAGCCATTTGATCATTCTCAGCATCAGCAAATAGATCCCTAACATTTTTCTCAGTTTCACAACCGAACTTGGCCAAAACTTTAGGGCCATTAACAATCTAACACAGTTCACAAAAAACAGAAATCTCATCAATCACCAATGCAGATAACAACTAACTTATATAAGGATATCCAAAATCATGCAGAGATGCTCAAATAGCTTTGGAACCTTAAAATAATGTACTAGCATCAAGATAATGTGTTAAATCGGCATGGTTCAATGTTTACAGCTGGCATAACTTAATCAATTCATTACCTAAGCCTATTATGAAAAATAAGAATACATGATTGTGACAATGAATATCTAGTTCTTTATTTCATCTCAGTATCATGCGTCATCAATGCTGGAACCCCCATTTGCCCAACATCAGACAGAGGGAGAAGAGAAGAGTACTTTAAATAGAATTACACCACTCTAATTAACGTCGAGGCCTTCTATGATAAAACCCCACACCTGAGGGATTGAGCAGGTGGTAAAGTGGGGACAGTATTGGTGTTGTTGGAGTGGGCCCTCAACCCGTCTACCTAAAATTCCACAATAATACAATAGAAATGTGATTATTGTTGGCGTGAGTCAACAAGAATACAATATGAATGTAATTGTGTTTCCTAGTTTGGTTATAACTCTTTGATGTGATATAAAATAACACACAAATTAAACCCTCTTTTTGATAGTTGTAGTATGTGAAAGTAGAGATCGTTCTAGGCCGAGGATTAGGAGGGTTGCTAATCTACACAAATTAAACTCCA